ATTTAAATTTAGTATTTTTAAAGTATTTAAAATAATAATTGCTTATTAAGTATTAAATTTTATATTTATTAAATACTTAATTTTTAAAGATTATATAAATATTTAAAATTAATATTTATAATTATAATTCCAATATATTTTATATTTAATAAGTAATTGCTAAGTATTTTTATATTATTTAATAAGTATTTAGTAAGTATTTTGACAAACTTCATGATGTGAAAGAAATAAAGGTTCATCTTTTTTATAAATCTCTAAATATATATGTGGGTTATTTTAAAGACTATTAAGAATTAAATTATTTAACAATACAAACTATATCTATAAGATTTCTTAAGCATTTATATTATTATTAATTATTGGTAGTAGATAGAATGAAGATATTATTATTATTTTTATTTTAAATATTAGGACATTGATGATTAATGTGTCTAGTTCATCTACAAGAAAAATAAATTATTTCTGAATTTATATTAGTATTATCTGATTATAATCACAATAGTTTTGGTATTAAGTTATTATTTTATTAATGACTTCTATTAACTTAAATAAAATTTTTTATATTTTATTATTATTTATCTAAGGAATAATTAGAGTCTTAACTATTTCTTAAGATAAATAAGTTGGGTATCCTATAGATTGAACTATAAAAGACATATGTGTTAGATTATTTTAATATGTATTTTCAAAGGTTTTTGCTTTAGTTAGATATTTTTTAACTTATTAAAAATTAATAAAGACACTATTATATAGAGTTCAGAACATAATCCAATTATAAACATTTGAGCCTTTGTTGTATTAGAATATTGATACTTTTCTGATTTAATTTTTTTAATTATTTCTTTAATGAAGATATGATAATTATTAATGAATTCATCAGATAACTGCTTCTGTTGTATTAATTGAATGAACTATTTAGCTTTCAATTCAGGTATTTGAAATTTGATGATAAAATTAGAAATAAAACTTGAAACAGAAACATTGAGATTATACTATTAATTGATAACAGGATGTTATATATTTTATATAAGCTACTAATTGCTATGAGTTCTTTTAATTTTAGAACTATTAGTAAAATTTTTTAATTATTAGAAACTATATTTGTATTAAACACCTTTTTTATATCTTCAAACTAGGTAATTAGATCTTAATAACCTTTATAGAAATCTTAGTAAAAGATAACACTTAATTCTTAATTAGTTACAGAAATGTTTACTTGTATAAGAAATGCATCTTGCAATTGCTGTACTAAAGTTACAATTTGTATTGTTAATTCTTGTATTAGATTTTAAGTTATTTATTATATAAAAATAAATTTTTATTTATTCAATTTACACAATTAAGACCAAATGTTACTATTGTTTGGAAGAACTGTAGCAAATATTTTATTCAATTTAACTTTAATAATAAACAAAATTAGATAGATATTATGAATAGAGTAATATAATACTATTAATAAGATAGTTTGTTTATATGTATTGGTAATTTATCAGGATTAGTTAACTAATTTATATGAGATCAAGTTACTGAATAATTTTAAGTGATGGTTACTCTTATGTAATAAAATGAATTAATCAGATCAATTAAGTGATGTAACTGATATAATTAATAAAAAGATATTTAATAAATAATTTAATATAATAATAACAAATTATAATGATACTTTGAAATAATAAAAGAAATTTGATAAATTTCTAATATAAGGGTTATTAAGCTATTTCTTTATTATGTAAATAGGATTCTAACTACAAAATTATTCAAACACCTGAGAAATTGATTCTTTTATTCAATTATTTTAAGACATTGAAAAACTAATAAATTTATTAAAGGCTCGAAGGCTCCACTTTTATACCTTATGAAATATTAAGAAGTATAATAATTGAACTTTTGATTTATGTAACTAGTAGTTTCACTTACTAACACCATCACAACTTAGTTTCATTGATCCATGTTTTTGACACTAAAGACTACTACAGGACTTGGGTGCGATTATACTAATTCAGTTACGATCTTCAATTACAAAAGGGTAAGTATTTACATATTTGTAAAATTCTATTTTTACAAATAAAGGGTTTGTACTGATTCTAAGTTTTACACAGCCTGGTACAAGTCCTATCATCACACCTTCCTCACGTTACCATCGTAACAATATCAATTACTAATTAGAAATTGAATGGGATAAACGGTAAATTGCCACCCAAAAAAGTTTCAAAAATTACATGATATTGTAGATCATGACAATAATATTTATCAAAATAGTAAATAATTGATTTAGTAAGTGATTTTTTTTCTTTGATTCTTTAAAGTGAAAAGTGATTGTTAAAAGCATACAATCCGATAAAAACACTAACCTAAAAATATATGTTGATTGCCGTAACCAAATTTCTATTGACAATAAATGAAAAAAGAATGAAAATCGAAATAAATTATAAAAATTATTCAAGATTTGATTTTTAATGTGCTTTTGAAAGATTATACTCTGATTATTGTTTGAATCCAGGACACAGCAACAAAAAAGTATTAACGAAAACAAATAGTAATAAATTGTTCAGTAGTATTAATAAAAATTTTGTGCTATTGCATAAACTGGATGATTCTAATTATTTTAAAAGACAATGGAATATTCCAAATACTTACAAAAACCGTAATTATAATATTTTCTGGCTATAATAATACGTTTGGTGAGTTGTTCGAAATAAATAAAATGATTAATTTATTACTTATCGTTTAAATTTTTTTGGTTGTGTTTTTTGTTAAGCTACATGAATTTTTAGTGCTCGATATATTTACTACGTGATGTTCGAAACTTTTTTGGGTGGCGATTTTACCCCAGTCTTAGAAAATGGCCCATTAATGTTAATGCAGGCCGGATGATATTTAATGCAGGCCAAATGATCTCATTAAAAATCCCATCTCTTGCCAAGGGTTTAGCGATTCGCAGGGGTTTCCCAATCGCCAAAGGTTCTGCCATTCGTTTTAGTTTCGTGTTTCGCCGGATTTAGATTTCATGTTTCATCATCTGCGAAAAACAGTTTCGCCTAACAACTATAGTTATGCTTATATTTCTTTGAAATCGATAAATTCTTAAAATTAATAGAATCTCTGAGTCACACATGACATTGAGATCTGCGAAGGACACATATTTTGCAAAGCGCAATACTTTTCAGTGAGAGAAATCCTACACCTGGTATACAGTACATAAAAAAATAATTTCATAATGATAGATCACTTAACCGCGAATTTTACAAATATAATCCCTCATAATTTGGATCGGGTATGTTTCTTCTGTTATAATTTTCAACACGGGTCCAAATTACCCCGAAAATCAATAATAAAATTTCGAGTTTCGGAGCGGAAATTGCAACCACCCGAAATTGGTAACACATAAAGGACTTGATGATCTAAAAATTATATTTTTTTGGACTCTTTCTACTACAAAGATTAAATGCTGTTTTTAATTGTTCCTTTCATAAATATAATGATATACGTATAGAGATCTTTTTCTTGAAAATCACATGACATTTCCCGATCGGGCAAAATAGACTAGAGATGGGCAAGGTAATCACCTATTGCAAGTATATATTATTAGAGAATCGTCACATTGTTGATGTTACTTTTACGTAATAAGTAATTACTTTGCCCATCTCTAAAATAGACCAAACCGATTTGTGATTTACGTATATATAAAATGCACAAACTGGTATTTTGATGTTTATCGCGATTTGCAAAATTATTGTCTCAAGAGGGTGATGACATCACTCAACAATCGCAATTGCAATCACAATCATTCTAAAGTTTGTGTGAAGATGTCTCCACTTGATTAATTTCAATGAATTTTTTTTTTACTTGAATTCTATGGATTCATAAAATTCAAATAAAAAAAATTTTCATTGAAATTAATCAAGTGGAGATATTTTCGCACAAACTTTAGAACGCAATGAATGATGATCATCACCCTTGAGACAATAATTTGCAAATCGCGATAACGTCAATGAGTTAATCGACTCGATCAACTAAATTAAATAATCAGTTTTTATAATAAAAAATATACAAGCTATTTGAATTGATTAACATCTCTAGGTCTTTTTTTTTGTTTGAAGTCCCGGTCTGGAAATGTCGCTTTTTTTTAAAGGCAAAAACCCATATGCTTCTAATTATGTATTACGCAGTCTGTTATACTGTACTCATATTACTACGATAGGACAGTGTATAAAAAAAGATCAGAGTAAAATTAAAAACTTTACAAACTCCTGAATTCGCAACTACTTGCATAAATTTTCGGACATCTAATAAAAATTAATCGGCCAAATTCGGTAATTTTTTGAATCCAATTTCGATAACACCGAGTTCAAAATTTATCGAATTCAGTCAGTCAAATTTTTATTAGTTGTCCCAAAATTTATGAGAACAACTGTAAAAAAAACTGATTATGAAATTTATGTGACCTTATTGTTTAAATTATACGAATGTCTAAAATTATATTCATACGAGTGGTTAAAATTATATCCCATCTATGAGTGCAGATTTTCTCCGCTAATTGGACAATTGTAAATGCCGTCTCTAATTGGACAATGTATACTACGCCACCTTTATCTACCAATCAAATTATAAGATCAGGTGCAACCAAAAAAAATTTAAAGTTTTTAAAGTTTTTCAAAAATCGCGGTAACTTAAAATTTTAGTTACAAAACCACCTTACGTGTTCTAATAAAAAAAATTCCTTGCAAAATTTTAGTAGAGTATTTGTTCTATTAGACCTTTATACTGTTTCAACAACATTTCCATTATTTGATCGAAAACAGGATTGTTTATTCGTCCAATAGGAAAATTAGTAAACCCGTACAGAAAGTTGAACCAAGGGAGACCCTGTGTCATCCGATAGTTACATGATTGATAAACAATTTTTTTTATACATTTTACAATACTTTTTTTACTTTACTTTATAATATATTTATTTAATCCCTCAACTTTTTTTTTTGTGACTTGCAAAATTTACAATATGATTCCAACTACTAGCAGCATTCATATTATACTAAGTGGATCCAAAATAATTCCGTGCGTGCCCATCTCTAACTTATACGTATAGTAATTACAAAATATAAATATAATGCTTTTGAAAAATGGATTTCAATCAATATAATACTAATTACAAAATGTTCAAAGTGTCTCTTTTAGTATCTTACTCGCTGTCCTTCCTCTTTATATTTACATGTCATTTTCTTGTAATTTCTGCTGATATTGACTATGTGATCCCACCGTCTTTTTTAAATTATACTGATTTTGAAGTATATTGGGATTATCTCTACCCGTTAGTATTTTTAACATGCACCACATTTTCTAATACATCATCAAATCTCTCACACTCAAACATTAGAATCATGAAATTGACCACTTTTTTCTTTTTTTTTTGTAGGTGGGGTGATGTCCATGTTGGTACAGCCTTCATGCGAGGCAATAGTTCTTTCCACCAAAATATTTATTTAGAGGATTCAGTTTTAACACTTAAAGCGACTAGGAATTTTAGTGAGGCATATAATCGAACATTTAATTATTTCTCAGGTGCTGTCCATGCCAAGCAACTTCTTGAAGTGACTGAGCAGTACCCATCCTATACTATGTGTGGTGACTTTTTAGCTCCAATGATTCCAGGAGCTTGGCCAGGTACTTAAATTTTTGTTTCTCAAACCAGTATACATAAAATGTTATTGATTGAATCAAGATAGCTAATTTTAATCTTATTTTTTTTACCACAGCATTCTGGATAACTGCTACAAGCTGGCCTCCTGAAGTTGATATCCTTGAATTTAAAGGTGACAACAATGATAATTTTAATATTTACATCGATAAAAATACTCCTACTTATTGGGACCAAATTCGTATACACTCTTCTGATGATTGGAATACTTATTGTCTTTATATGAAGAGAGTAAATAATACGGATGTTAATAATACGGATGTCGACATAACATTTTCTCTTAATAATAATATTAGTATAACGCATACAGCAACTGATTATGTCGGAAAACAATTTTGGGTAATTATTAATTTAGAGATGGAGGGAAGCTCAGGACCTAGTGGACCACTTAATGATACATATTATTATGCTCGTAATGTTTATGTTACAAGTAACTATTGATATTATTATTAAAATAATTCATATTTTAATTTGTATGTACTGATAAGACTTTTTTTTCTTTAGGGGAGAAAACTTATTGAAAAGTAATGTACCCGGTGTTGCTATCGTGCTTGAAGTGACATCTGCTTAAAGGTCATTGACAGAAACTACTGGTAAGTGTAGGCAGGCTTAACTTCAAGTATTTGAAACTACAATTTTAAGCAAATGATAGCTTCAAGCATGATATTACCTCAAGTTTTGGTTACATTATTCTTATTTCAATATTGGCTTGCTTTTTTCTATTTCATATCTTTTTTTAGAACATTATTTATTCATTAAATCTATCCCTTAAACTGTATGCAAATTCGTGGCACATTTGCCTCTAATTTTTTTATAAACTTTTGATCTATTTTTTTAAAATTTAAAATATTTTAATAAATTTTTTTATAATAATAATTTAATAAAGATTAAATAATCAATTAAAAATTAATAAATTAATAAATTTTTTAAAAACTTATTTTTAATCAAAAATTATTTATTTATTTATTTTTGGTATTAAGGTAAGGTTTTGCTTAGAGGTTGGAACTGTTTGTAAATTTAAAAACCGAATTGATTTTAAATGCAATATAAAGCCAGTTATTATTTGATTTAAATCGATTGGAATTAAACCTAATTACAAGTAATATAGAACTGGATACTATTTGGCTTAAACCGGTGACACGGGCGATACGGTGAGTCAGTCGCTTGTCGATGGGATATGTCGTGTAACCTACGAACGGCTTAGTCGATAAGAGGCGGTTAGATTTGGCG